CCCTCTAACAACACTATAAGAATAATGATAATATCCTCCTCCATTTGCACATGAACCCATAGAAATTACCCAACGAGGCTCAGGCATCTTTTTTTTTAAAAAAAAAAAAAAGTAAATTAATTAGATTGATTTTTCTTAAAATTAGACAACACAACTTTGGTACAGGAAATAAACTGATATTTATTTATCACAAACGTTATTATGTTTTATAATTATTCAATGAACACACCAAGAAATTACTCGGCATTATTTAAAAATAAAATAAAAATATTTTTTGAAATTAAAGCTATTTTTGGTCAATGCGATCGATCTTAAATAACCATTGATTTCCAAATTAAAAGCTCTTCTAGTAAGTGTATCTCCTCTTGTGGCGCCAACAGTTCATCAATTAGATCATATAAGCTATCATTTGGCGGAAGTCTTACACTGGCTCCATGCCTCTTGGACGGCATAGAAACCTTTTGTTTAAGTGCCTCAATTTTTTGGAATGTTGCTCCACAACATAAGGTGTTCATTTAACTGCACTGCATTTGTATAATCTATGAATTCTTATCTCAAAATGATTATGTGATTCACATCCTGAGCAAAAAAAGGGAATTCACTTTCTTTAATGTTAAAAGGGTAATATCATGATGTAATCATGGGTACGTTTTTAAGCTAAAAGAACCCTTGCACAAAGTTTGGAATAAATTTGGTAATGCAAACATTAGGACTATATTTAGTAATTTTTCTGCAAATCTTGTAAATTTTGTAAATTTTGTTGAACGTTCTAATTTCCAACGTTTTTTATACTGCCGCTATTGCAGAAGATAGAGAAAAGATCTTGCTCGAGTAGGAAAGGCCACACACTATTGTTTATATTTATTTACCTTTGTTTTTTTAATTCCTTTTTAATAAAAAATTAGATCTACGCAAAAAAATATGATTTAATATTAATATTAATTGGTGTAACTTTGGATAACATGAATTTTTTTTTATAAAAAAAAAAAAAATGATAAAAAAGCCAAACAGTTCCATTAGATTACCGGTTGAATGTGTTGAAGGAATCTTGCAATTTCTTGAGGATGATATAGAATCACTTCATTCATGTGTTTTAGTTAACCGACTTTGGTGTAGGTCAGGAATTTCATTACTATGGAGCCAGCCATTTTCATTTGTTGGGAGACGAGCACATAAAATTATAGATGTTTACATACTGTTTCTAACTGATGAAAAAAAAGAAGTGTTAACCAATATAGGATTTAATAATATCATCGATAATGATAACAATAATGACAATGAAAACAAAAAAACATTATTTAATTATCCAAAGTTCTTTAAAAGACTAGACATTAACGGGTTAAGAAATTCGATAAGATGCTGGCTAATCAATTATTACTACGATAATTTAAAACTCGTTAAAATTTACGAGGCTTTTATTGCAGAGTTAGATGATCGTCTAGATTTATTACAAAATTTAATTGTCGATGTACTATTTGATAATATTAATTATTTAAAATCTTTAAAATTTAATCATGATGAAGAAGAAGAGGACGAAGAAGATTCGTCTTTTGATATCACAGCATTTGCAAAATCCAAAACGATTCTTTCAACACTCGAAGAATTTTTATTTTATTATTCAGGATTAGTAACAGATAGAGAATTTGAAATTGTTGGTAATTTATTTATAGATTTAACGGAATATTCTTCTAGGATTGAGTATGCGCATATAGATTTTAATGGGTTACCTGTTGAGCCCATAGATCTTGATGAATTTGATTCACTGATTTCATTATTTTTAGAGTCGCAGAATTCTTTAAAAGATCTAACCATTGCAATATTATGGTCGAATTCTGCAGCTTCTTTAGTAATGCAAAGTTTATCTAGTGATTTATTATCAAACTCTCTAAAATATTTAAAGCTTCACCAGCTATCACAAAATAGTTATCATCAGTTATTAAATATTTTACACCTATTAAACAATTTAGAAACTTTACAAATAATTGGGTTTTACGAGGAGAATATCGAAGATTTGAAGGAATTCAGTGATGATGATGACAAATTAAAACCGATTAATTTAAAAAATTTACATTATGAGGGATCCGGATCAGAATATGACATATTTATTTCATTACATCCCATAATCATAATGTCTAGCTCTAATTTAAAAACATTATCAACCGATTTCGTTACCACAGAATTATTAGAAACAATTTCGAAATATTGTGTAAAGTTAACACATTTGTCAATTTCTTTAATAATAAATGAAATACCCGAGATATTATTCAGTTTATTTGATTCACTTAAAAATTTAAACCATTTATCAATCTATACAAACTCGGCAGATGTTCCATTTACCTCAACCGAAAATTTATCAACATTTTCTAGAAAAATTCCCAAAACTTTAAAATATTTTGGGTTTGATTTTTTAATTTCTCCTGATATATTAGATTTTTTCCTAAAAGAATGCAGAGCTTCGTTACAAGCATTAGCTATTTACAGGAGCGAGATGGTTAATGAAGAATTATTAATTGTCATTGAAAAACATTTTAAAGAGAAAAAATCTTTAAAACGATTATTAATAGATCCTCTTGATTGTGATTTCCAAATGAATAAATACGAAATACCAATCATTTCACGCACAATCGATCCTTGTTATCCTTTCAGCGGGTAAGTTTCATTAAAATTCTTTGCTTTTATTTTCTTAATTACAACAGCGCACGTGTATGTATGTATGTATATTAATCATTTTCTCAAAACAGACCTTCCACAAAAGAATATGAAAACAAATGGGATAAAGATATTTTTGTTGATTTCGATAATGAATTATGATATCAATTAAAAATAAAAATAAAAAGAAAATATATATAAACATATAAACATACAAATATGAATATGAATATAGATATAAATATAAAAATATAAAAAACATAAACATAAATATAAAAATATAAAACATATAAATTGTATCATAATTTAGTGCAAAAAAATATCAATAAAATCCAAATTTATAATATATTTACAATGTTTCTTCAATGACTTTGATTCCTTCTTTTTCTAAAGCCTCTATTATTGGATTGTTAATTTCTGGCGTATATGGAGCCAAGACACCAGGCTTTTTTATGATGCCTTCGATTTAAAGATGCAAATATATTTGTTAAATATACTATACAAAATATAAAATATAAAAATATATATTTTAAAAACTACCATCTAATATCAACTGAGTTGCAATTCCACAAGGAAGGCCTACAGTAGTAGCCATCGCAGATGGACCACATGGTTTACCATATTCTAATAAAGTTGAAGTCCGTGTTTCCTTTTTTTTAAAAAATAACAAAAAATCAACCAATTGTCCATTTTTTTTTCAATTGTGTGCATCATCACAAATATAAAATTTTGAATTCACCTTTTTACCATCTTTCCACTCAATCTCGAATTTATGTTGTAGAATAACCATGTCTCTTTCACCCTCTGCATATTTCAGTTTTGCTTCCAAAGTTGCACAAAGTGTATCGAGTAAATTGGATTTGCGATCAACGTTTGCATCAGAAAACAACCCCAACCATTTAAAACCTGATAGAATTCGTTCAACTTCTTCATTTGATAGGTCTTTTACTTTAGATTTAATTTTATCACGAATATCACTTTTTTTAAAAAAAAAATATCTTAGAAATTTCATTACAATTAATAAAAAAAGATTTTGTTTCGAGTGCTTACTGTTCAGAATTACTAGATACGCAAAGAACTTTAGCCAAAACATCTCTCTATTACACGTGTAAATAGATATGTTCATTAATCAAAAAATTAGAATTCACAAATATATATATAAACATTAACAATTACCCATGCAATATCTGGTGAACTGGGAAGCAAATAATCTTTCTCAGAATCATCAAACATTCCAATATCAAGTAAAACTTTAGAAAAATTGGTAAAACCCTAAAAAAAAACTCACATGGTTAAAAAATACATGTACACACATATATTCTATTTAATAAAATAAAATGAAATAAAATACCTGGTAACGTAAGGTACCACGTAAAATTGTTTTTGCTTCAGGGATTTTATAAAATTCTCTAAAAGGTGTAGAATCACGATTGGGATAACAGAGAAATGCAAATGCTGGATAAATTAGATATGGTTTTGCTGATTCCATAAGTTTATTTCCTGGAATTTCTACAACCTTATTAATTTTAAAAATTCAAGTTATTCAACTTTTTTTAATATCATTGAAATAAAAAATAAATTCCAAATATATACTTTTCCATCTTGATAATATTTAGCTGCACTTCTTAATGCCAATAGAACACCACGAGCAAACCAACTAAATTTATAACCAAGAGGATTATTTGAAGCTTCTGGAGCTGGAAGTCCACCACAATATGAAATGAATGATAAAATCTAAAAAAAATTAATAATTATAATTATTTTGTTACAGCGTATATTATTACTTTATTTTAAAATAAAATACTTGCCTTTCCACCAACTTCATGAACTTCATTGATAGTTTTTACGGCATAAAGGTGATCAATTCCTATCGATTATAAAACCAAGGGGTTATTATTATTATTATTATTAAAAATCAACCAATTATTTATTTATTTTGGAAAATTTATTCTCACCAGGATCAAGACCAATTTCATTCATGACTATAATCCCATTTTTCTTGGCTCTAAAATATTATCATATATATATATATATATGATATTTAGTAATAATAGAATAACCGTAATGAAATAATATCATTGGTAAACTTACTCTGCATCAAATTCTCTCATAGCTGGTGACACATAACTAGTGGTTACCACATGCTTCTTATGTTTTATAGCAGATTTAATCACCAAAGGATGATATTCATAAGGTATCAAACTAAAAGGTGATAATTGAAATTTTATATCAGGCTCGATGCAAAAGAAATCAAAAAAAAGAAAAAAAATCCTCACCTGATTATCAAGTCATGACTAGAAACAATTTCACCAAGAGCCTTTTCATCTGTCACATCAAGCGATACAGGAGTTGCACGAGAAAACTTTTGACACAGTGATTGAGCATTAGTAATACGTCTACAAGCTAAAATAATCAGGCAAAATTTTGAAGTGTGAGTTAATAAAAATCAATAAATTTATTTCAATAAATAATTAATCTTTTCTAATTTGTACCAATGGTTAATTTATTTTCTGGTCTTCTCAGGATATATTCAACTGCTGGTCCAGCAACGAACCCAGATCCCAATAGTAAGATTTTTCTATTCTCCAAAATTAATTCTTTTTAATAACAATAGTAATAATATTAAAAAAAAATAAAAATAATTAAAATTTGAAATTTGATATTTTTACTTTTCGTTCATAATTTATTTTTTTTTAAATCAAAAGCTAGTTTGGATAGATAATCTTTGATGATCGACATAATCTAAATAACAATTTTCTAATACTAATGAATCATTTGTTTACATGGCACTGTTAATGGTAGTAATATTAACAGAAATGGTATATAGTATCTCTTCTCCTAATACTAATGATAGATCTAGTTTTAAATTCGATGTCATCTCGTCAATTCGATACATCTTGTAGTGGGAAAGCATAAAAAAGCACGCCTAATGCTAATACCTATGTTCACACACAGCATCGTCGTCCTCATAGAAGATTGTTGATAGTTGTAGCACGTTGCTAACTAAAAGAAAAAAAATTAATGCGAAAGTTTCTCTCTCACTCAAAGTAACAAAAATTTTTAAGGGGAGAAACTTTACCTGAAGATAACAACATTCAAACATTATATACAAAGATTATAAGGTCAAAAAAGTCCACACTTCTAATAATAACACTACTAAAATAAAAAACGGGGGTATGTGGCCCGAAACCAAACAATCAGACATGCAATAGAAAAAAACAACAAAATTTGTGAAATGATAGATGGCATGATCTCATAAGTTTATTAATATTAATATAGGTTTTTCGGTTGAGCCGAGGGGCAGCACGCAAACTGAAAATTCAATTCCCAGAATGAAATTGAGAAGATTCAAAGCAGGCTTCATCATTGAGTTTGCAGGAAAATAATCGTATCACAGACGGCACCTTTTTGCCCTTTTTTAGCGACCTTTATACTGAAATTTATATTTTGCAATAAGATTCTTTCACCTAGAGATCAGACTCGTCAAAAATTCTTTACTCTTGGTGCTCATCCCAGGTTTGATCGCATGTATTCAATTAGCAAATAAACAAGATTATCTTGGTATTTCATCAGACATCTACGTAAAATTCATGTATTAGTATATACATCTTTTTTGAAAACAAGTTTTCCGTATATTTTTGAATTATAGATAAATTAAACATATAGATTATTTTGTATTATTTGAATAAAATAATCAATTAATAATAATAATAATAATCAAAATATCCATAAAAGTGGCAATGATGACGATGATGACGATAATGTAGTAACAATTAATTAGAAGAGACGTAAGATGATAAACAAAGGATGGTGTGATTTTTCTAGACATGAAACCATTTATTCCCATAATTCATAATTAATCGCCACCAGGATCCAACACTTTTGCCACTTCAATCTCCCCCTTTTGCATCTAACCCTCGCCATTGCAAGAAACATAATCTATTCTCGTACTACCTCTTTCTTATATATATGTCATATCGCTTTCGATCGTTGATTATTTTGCTCTTACTTTTTATCATTGGCAGTCAAAATTCCTTCCTCCGAAAAAAAGTCAGCCAAGATTGTATTTAATAATAAAACACTCTGTATTAGGGATGTCCACCGAAACTAAATACTTTCGGTAAAATTTTCGGTTTTGTTCAAAAACTGAAAAAAATTTATAAAAAATTTATTTATTTTTGATAATGGTACATATATTAATAATATAAAACGAAAGTAATTATTTGAATTAAAAAAATGAGATGATTACAATATGTTTTGCATAATTACATAATTCTAAATAGAATCAAATTAGAAATTCATGAATTATTGGACGACCTTCTTTAAATGTTTGGATATACTTGCAAAAAGAAGTGAGGTTAAAAATAGCAAAGGACATTATTTTGCCAAGTGTCACTATTGTGTCAAATTTTTTGATGAGAAACATCTGGTAAAGGAATGTGGTGTAGTAAATCAAATTTCTTCTAATAAACAAGAACAACCAAGTTTGTCTGAATTCTACGAAAGCACAACATTAATCACATAAAGGAATGATAATATTGATGGGGTATTAATCGGGCATTTATAACGTGTTGTATATCTTCTAATGTTATATTTTATTGAGTTACTTGGATAATGTAGACCTGCCTACACACCACATAATAGAAATGTAAATCTCAGGAAGACTTTTTGATACAGAAGTGACTAATATTAATACCAAAATTAACCTGCAACTTGTGAAGACACCAATAATTATAAAACAAATGATATAGATAGTGGTTATGATAGTGATGCAGATGATGAAAACCAAAACGAAAGAAAAAAAAACTAGGATTAATTATAAATTTGATAATGATTTTTTGATATTTTTGATGGTAATAAAATAAGCGATGTTTAGTCAAATGTATTCATAGTTGACTTTCGAAAAGGGAGGGTTTCGGTGGACATCACTACACCTATTCCTTCCAATTTGGAACTTGATTGCTAAAACTTGTTACGTTTTTTCGACAGAAACACTCAATCATCAGCAAGAAATTGATTTAATTCTTCCTTATTAAATGTCAGTAAAGTGGGTGTCGGTAAAGTGTCCGGGTCCGCTTTTAAGGCTGAAAAAACATGGAAAAAATTGCCAGATAAATTGATTTTATAATAAATAGAAAAGTTTTTACTTCTTCATCCTAAGG